TATATATATATATATATATATATATATATATATTATATTTGGTGGCTTTTTAATCTAAATTTGTATGTAAAACTAAATCTACAATAAATCAAACGAGATACGAAAATCTTTTTAACCGCATAAAAAAATTTAGTAATTGAAACCCAACAAATAGAAAATCCGACGAATGACGACACATAGTTCCTCTAAGAACAAAGGGGTAATTTGGACCAACCCCAGTGTTGAATTCTTATCATAATCTCCCCTGAATCCAAACAAATACATCACTTATGAATTCGCATTGGTCACCTCTAAAGAACAAAATGGATTGGAGAAGATGATGATGAATGATACAACAAACACCGACGAAGTCGAAGGTTAAGAAGCCAGTCTTGTGATGACTTCTCTTAAAGGACCCGTCTTTATTGCCTGGAACCACCACCAAATGCTTGTCCATGGCGGAAAAAGGGTATATTTAGCTGTGCGAAGAGGCTCTCGTTGACAGGTCGGTCGTGTCCAGCCTGACCCGGGATTCGTTGTCATTTCCAAACAGTTGCTCGTGTAGAAGGCAATGAAGCCGCCCAAACAGCTGCTTCTTCAGCGATTCGAAAGCCAAATCCAACCTCTCCAGTTGTTCCATCGCGTTTGGATTGTACAGGAACAACCCATAGTAAAGGTCGAAGCTGTCCCCGGACGTGTTCTCCACCAGTTTGAGCAGTGTTTCGTAGCCCTTGGTATCTACCGGCGTGGACTCTAACTTCAATTTCTCAAGAACTCTTCCGGTGGTGTGCGTGATAAACTGTGATCCGGCAGCGTGCCAGTCATGTTCAGCGCAAGACATCTCGACCATACGACACCCTTCACGTGCAAAAATATCGAGAAATCTGTCACACCTGGATGCTCTCCTTGTATCCCTTCCGATTCTGACCTTATCAAACACAAAGGAAAGACCGTTCCACCCGTTTTTACCGCTCTCTGGTCCAAACATGGGATGTGTGCACAAAATATCAAAGTCGGGTGGGAGAATTCGAAGAAACAGGTTCCTCGGGAACTCTTTGACAGAGAGCACATCGACAAAAAGGGTGCTTCTCTTTAGTCTCTGAAGCGGGAGTGACTTGAGAACTTTTTCCGTGGAAAGGATTGAAGTACAGAGAAGAATAACTCCAGGGTGTTCTTCGAACAGATCGTCAAGGTCAGAGAAAAAAGAGACGCCAAGATTCTTAGCCGCTTCAGTGTAATCGGTTCTAGAATATGCCAAGACCGAGTGTCCCTGTCTGACCATTGCTTTAGCTAGAAACTGTCCAAAGTTGCCAAATCCGATAACAGCAATCTTGAGCTTTGAACTTTCATCAACAACGGCCGAGAGCTCCGCATTATATTCATACTTCGGTGCAGCATCTTTCGATCTGCAAGGTCACAGATTGATTCCAGACAGTCATATAGGATCAATATCAAAGCATCCTAGGCAAGTACTCCCCTAATCCCTAGCACCTTTTTACTGTCCAACACAATTGTCCATTTCGGAACACAATCTGATATCCTAAAGCCAGACCGATTGCGCAACAAAACGACCCCATTAACGCAGCTGAAACATACCTTGCCATGTCCAAAGAAGCAGCCTTTGGATGACCATTTGCAAAGATATTCACTCTCCTATCTTCACCCTCAAACAGCTGCTTCCTCACAACACCATGAAGCCGCCCGAAAAGCTCTTTCCGTAGTGCCTCGAATGCCAAATCCATCCTCTCCAACATCTCCAGCGAGTTCTTATTGTATACAAACAATCCGTAATACAAATCGAAGCTATCCCCACTAGTGTTCTCCACCAAATCCAACAACGCCTCGTACCCTTTGGTGTTAATCGGCGTAGATTGCAATTCCAGCATCTCCAAAACCCTACCTACAGTGTGTGTAATGAACTGAGTCCCTGCAGCGAACCTGTCGTGATCGGCGCAGCTCATCTCCACCATCTTGCACCCTTCACGCTCGAAGATTCCCAGAAAATCCTCGCACCGCGAGATTCTGGATTTCTCGTCGGCGATTCGAGCTTTCTCGTACACGAACCGAAGACCTCGCCAACCATTGTTGGATCTCACACTCTGTGGTCCGAACATCGGGTGTGTGCAGATAACGTCGAAATCGTTGGGGAGGATCTCAATGAGTAGATTCTTCGGGAACTCCTTCACGGAGAGGACGTCGACGAAGAGCGTGTTCCGGCGAAGTCTCTGAAACGGAAATGCTCTGAGGACGCGTTCCGTGGAGATGATGGAGGTGCAGAGGATGACGACATCAGGGTGACGCTCGCAGAGATCGTGGAGATCGGCGAAGAAGGAGACACCGAGGCGGCGAGCGGCGGCGGAATGATCGGATCGTGAGTGGGCGAAGACGATGTGTCCCTGAGAAACCAGGGTTTCGGCGATGAACTGGCCGTAGTTTCCGAATCCGACGATAGCGATGCGGAGAGTCCGTAAAGGGTTGGTGGGTTTACCGCTGGATAGGTCTCCAGATATGGCGGAGACAACGGAGAGGCGACATGTGGTTGCAGCGGCGGTGGTGGGTAAAGAGAGAGCGGAGGGGATCATGACGGAGTGAGGAGAGAGAGAGGAGGAAAGAGAAGGTTTGATGATTGGGAAGAAGTGAAGAGAGGAAGACGAAGAAGAGATATGAATGATCATTGTGTGTATATGTATATGGATATGGAGCTGCGGTTATGGCGGAAATACGGCGGCGGCGGCGGCGGCGATGATTAATGCGGGAAGTATCGGAGGGAACGACAATTCCATATTTTAGGCGCCTGAGTTTTCTCTTTTTACCCTTTTTTACTATAAATTGCATGTGGACCCTCTAATATCCTTTTAATTGTATTTAAAACCGAGTATTGGACAATTTGACAAAGATAACCCCCACCTTTCCATTTGGCTTTCAATATTTTTATGACGTGAACACAGAGAGGGACATGTGGAGTTACTGTGTTTCGATTAGAAAGAAAACAAAAAAAAATCACTTTATTTTCGTTGAAAGGAAATGATATTGGAATTATTGTGTTTCAATTAAAAAAAAATATGGAAAATATGTCACAAATAATATTTGATTATGAAAAATTATATATTTTGTTTCCTTCACGAAAGCTTATATTTCTTATTGACGTTGTAAAAAAAAAAAACAATGCCCGCCGTTTTCCGTATGGTTTGTTTGTATTCAAATGTGAAGGATTTTTCATGCATTTAAGAGAAAAGTGGGGGGTATCATATGAAATTGCCCATTTTTAATATTTCTCGACGGTCTTTTGGTGGATTGCACGTTCAACGTATCCTTCTTGCTAATAATTAATAATAAAATTAATTGGGATTAAATAAGTCCAACTAATTTTGTACAGTCAAACACCAAATAAATAATGAACCGAAATATTTTTATAAAACTCACCATGTAATGGTACGATCATATTAAAAATTCAATTTAAAGTAAGCATAAATAAAACAAAATTTCCAATTTAAACGTTTAGTTTTGCTGTATTTTCATTTCACTTAAGAAATATCAATATGACTAGGTGAACTACAGACGTGGAATTTGCTTAAACGCAATAAGTACACACGCAGACCGTACCCCGTCCACATCACAAACGCACATAGGCGCGTTTCGGCGAGAACGGCGACAGGTCCGAAGTTGGAACACAGGACAAAGAAAGAAACACATGCATACGTTCATGTCGGCTTCATTCAAAGAAGAGAAAAGTTGAAAACTTCATTAGAAATAAAATCACTCACTGAGGAAAAAGTTTCCGTACCGATTTCTTTCACCTAAACTCAACTGGAAAAACAATAAGAATAGGATCTGATGGTGACATGAGAATGCGTCTTCGTTCAGGAGGAGAAGACTTATCACCAAAGGTTGAAGAGGAAGCCGCCGTGAGTGGCGAAGAAGGGAGCGAAAACGAGAGACTCGACGGCCATAAGCTTGATGAGGATGTTGAGAGATGGACCGGATGTGTCCTTGAGCGGATCTCCGATCGTGTCTCCGATTACAGCGGCTTTGTGAGGCTCCGATCCTTTCGGTCCAAGAGATCTCGCGTGCTCCGAAGCCCCCGCCTGAAGAAGTTTTCGCCACGAAAAACGGAGATCGTAATCCAAATTTGAGACCAGTTATTGCCCCGTTAACCCGTTTTCAAAACAAAGCTCGGGGGGAAAGAACGAAAGAAGTTTACCTCGATGTATTTCTTCGCGTTGTCCCAAGCACCGCCGGTGTTAGATGCAGAAATTGCGATCTGACGAGATAAAGAAACGAACTTATCAGCTTGCGATAACTAGAGATGGCATTTGGTTCGGTTATACATAAAACCGAAACGATTCAAACCCAATAACACATATGACCGTGACCGAACCAAATCCAATATAAAAACTAAATATGTATGTTTTTTTTTTTCTAAACCTGAAAAAGTAAAACCAAACCGAATCGAATCTGATATAAAACCGAAATGGATACAGTTCTTCTAAAACCAAAAAACCCGAACTTGAATATAACCCAACCGAAAATCAAAATGCCTAACTCTAGCGTTAATGACATTGCATAGCAAGGTTTGCCTCTTGTAATGAAATTTAGCCCTTACCTGAACACCTGAGACGAGGGAACCGGCGAGAACACCAGAGAGCGTCTCAACGCCGAAAAAGAAACCGACGATAAGAGGGGTAAGCATCACGAGGGCACCCGGAGGGATCATCTCTTTGATGGAAGCATCAGTAGATATCTTAACGCAAGTGGCATAGTCAGGCTTGGTCGTACCTTCCATAAGTCCCGGGATTGAGTTGAATTGCCTCCGAACTTCCTCAACCATTTTGAGAGCTGCACTGCCTACGCTCTTCATTGTCATGGCCGAGAACCAGTACGGAAGCATAGCTCCCACAAGCAGACCAATGAAGACTTTGGGGGTCAAAACATCAACGGTGGAGATTCCAGCTCGGCTGACAAAGGCGCCAAAGAGAGCAAGGGAAACAAGAGCAGCCGAGCCAATGGCGAAACCCTGCGTTTAACGGATGACAAGAATAAGGTGATAACTACTTAAAAATAAGAAAAGAGAGTTTAATAGATCCAAAGATATTTGTTTTCGAAACAGACAAGAAGAAATCTATCAGGATAGTGCAAAAACATTGATGGATTATCACAAAGACGGAATAGATTGAGGAAGCCAACGAAAACCCTAGTACCTTTCCGATGGCAGCAGTGGTGTTTCCTGCAGCGTCAAGAGCATCGGTTCTCTCTCTGATTCTGTGGCTCATTCCGGCCATTTCAGCGATTCCTCCGGCATTATCACTGATCGGGCCGTATGCATCAATGGCCAATCCTGTAGCGATTGTGCTAAGCATTCCGAGGGCAGCGACTGCAATACCATACATTGCAGCAAAGCTGAAACTGACAAAGATGCTCACTGCAATGGCAAAGATGGGGATGATAACCGACTTGTATCCTAAAGCTAGACCAAATATGACATTTGTGGCCGCTCCGGTTCTGCATGAATCAGCAACATCTTGCACCGGGCTGCAATATCAGGTCAGAGGGGTCAGATCAGATTTAACAGATCAAGATTGAAGCAATCTGATTCACGATGATAGTATTCGCTCGTGTGTTTACCTATATGCATTACTTGTGTAGTATTCCGTTACAAACCCAATAATGAGCCCAGCCCAAAGACCGACAGCTACACACAAGAACAGCTGCCTGCAAATTTTACGGAATTTTGTAAATATGATGTGAATGCCTTGGAGAATAGGAAGGGATATGAATCAGGAAGCTTACCAGTTCTTGACAACTTTCTGTTCTCCGAAGTTGAAGATTGTGAAGGAAGATGGAAGAGCGATGAAACTAACTATCGCTATTCCAACCGTCATAAGAGCTGTTGAGATAATTAGCTGCTTCTTCAAAGATGGCTCGATTTCCTTCACCGCCTTGATCTCGACGAAGTCAGTTGCGACCAATGTGGTGATTAAACATACGATGATACCAACGGAACTGATGATGAGAGGATATAGCATGGCGGTAAACTCATGGTTGACACCAAAGGAAGAGATGGATGCAACAACAAGGGCAGCGCAAGATGACTCGGCATACGAACCAAAGAGATCGGATCCCATACCGGCAATGTCTCCAACATTGTCACCGACATTGTCAGCAATCACCTGCAAAATTGTAGGACCAATTCAATACAAAACCCAAAAGAAACCACTTCTGATAGTCCCCAGATGATTATTGCCACTTACAGCTGGGTTCCTCGGGTCATCTTCTGGAATGTTCTTCTCAACTTTTCCGACAAGGTCAGCACCGACATCAGCAGCCTTGGTATAGATGCCTCCACCAACTCTACCAAAGAGAGCCATGGATGAACCTCCAAGACCATAACCAGTGATTGCTTCGAACAGTCCAGACCAGTCATCGCCATAGTACAGCTTGAAAACGTTGATGGCAATGTAGAGCACCAGAAGGCCATTTGCGGCGAGGAGGAAACCCATGACGGCACCAGATCTGAACGCGGTGATAAAAGCTTTCCCGACACCCTTCCTTGCCTCGAGGGTGGTTCTTGCGTTGGCAAAAGTAGCGATTTTCATACCCAAGAATCCCGATACCACGGAAGTGATGGCCCCGAGCAAGAAGGATATGGTGCTGAAGAGAGCAGTGGCAAGTGCGGGCTTGCACCTCTTAGTCTTGTCATAAGTGCAAGGCTGAGTACTTGTACTGAATCCTTCCACAGATGCAAGGGCTCCGAAAATCACGGCTGCGAAAATAACCATGAAAATGCCAACGTACTTGTACTCGGTGAAGAGGAAGGACGAAGCCCCTGAAACATTAGCACATCAAAAAGTTAGTAAACCAAATTCCTAATTTCCAATCCAGCAAAATACTACATAATATATTAAGATGAAGCATCAAGCATATGCAACTAACTACATAAACAAGATATCATTATTATGAACATTAAGCACTAACTGAAGATGACTTCATGTTCATCATCCTTTTGTTCTCCAACAGTTCGTTCGTCGTCTACATGTCCGTCAACACTAACATCATATACCATATCCCAAAGCTTATATCTTTGTACTTGTTTTACAGAAGAGGTTAAATTTGGAAACCACATAAAACATAGAACCTTCAGGGTATAGACAAGATGCACCTCGGTAAATCACATGAACTTACGATGAGGTAAACACGGGAATTTATGTTTCTTTAACTCCAGTTTTGCAAAGCACCAATCATTAATCCATTTAAGGGCAACAATCTTCGCAAAAAACCTTGGATAGGAGAACATTTAAATCGAGCACTACAACATCAACGGCAATAACAGCCTTCATTTCGAGAAAAGATTCATCGGCTTTATGAGAGATTCTGATACTTTCCGGATCTCGTATGTTATTAAAAAGGGTGACCAGGATTTGACAAATCAAGAATAAAAGAATAACAAAACCAGATGGATCCCTTAAAAAATCAAATGAGAAACCTAACCTAGAATCTATGTCATCATAATACATACCAGACACATGTGTTAAGCAAAAACACTCATACTTTGAATATCTAACTGTCCTGTCTCCACGATTCCAAGAAACAGAATCGGCAAGAGTCAATCTTTTTCCTGTACTATAAGTCTATAACAAGATCTACTTATGTTGATCAATCTTGATACATTAAACCAAGATTTCGTAGACAGATCCAAATCCAACAACACAGATCACGAGAATTCCACCATTCGCACCCATCAAGCTATAAGAAACACAATATCAGAATTCAAAAACGCCCAAAATAACAGGAAATGAACAACACCGTCCAGTGTAACCCAGATCTACGCTCAAAACGCCACGAAACACACCCAAAGAAGTAATTCAGAAACTGTATCACATCGCTATTCATATGCCCACATAGGAAACCAGAAACTAAACACTAAGACCATACGTGAGACGGATTCGAGCAAAGATCTTACGCTAAAAGAAGCAATACCCAGAAATCATAAAGCAGAACACAATTAGTTAAACGCAAAATATGTAGAGTATCATGTTCACGTACACGCGTATAGAGAATGGGAAATGCGCATATATAAACAAGAAGCAAGCACATGTACGTATATGCATATACGAAATTTTCAGAGAAAAAAAAATAACAGGAATGACGACCTTCAGAGATGGCATTTTGGATTTCGGCGCACTTGACGACGACGTTGTGGTCATTGAGACCTTCCTCCTCCTCGATGAGATAGTCGTCGTAACCGTTTTTTCGGCCGCCGGAGTTCGTAGATGCCGCGGCGGCGCCGGGGACGAGCTTCACCTGAGAGACGAGGAACCACTGAAACGCCGCGAAACCGATCCCGATAACGGCGCACACTGGGATCAAGATCTCAGTGCCGAGATCTGGCAAAATCGCACCTCCCATAGCTTCAAAAACAAACCTGAACCTGAATCTGTACGCGCACTACGCTCGCGAAGAAGCCCGAGAGAGAGAAAGAGAGAGAGGGAGGAATGAGGAGAGAGAAGGTTTACAAGAACAGCGGAAGCTTGAATATATAGCAAGGAGACGAGCAGGGAAGCGCGTGTGTTGCAGACGTTGAGAATGCACGTGATCGGTGACAAGATGGGTTTAAGATCCGCTACGGTCTTCTTCCTTTTCAGAAATTTATTTTTAAGTTTTCTTCTATTTTGTGTATTTTTAGAAATTCGAAAACTGGAGACCTTCACTATTTATGGTTATTTACGATCACTAAACTATAAATGAAAATCATGCCTTGTAATAAACAGAATTTATTATATATTTAGAAATTTGTGTGTGTGGGTTTGTACCATTTACCCAATTTAGAATTTTATTTTCTAAATACATTAGATATTGTAAAGTAACAAATTTAATGAGTAAATACCACAAAAATAATAAATTATTAAAAAAATAAAAAATTGTTATCCCTCGCCAAAATAAATGAACTTGACAAAATTTTCTATCGAAATCGTCCTATTTGTAATCTGCTTCCAAATCGCATTCAAGTACCTTCCACAATTATAAAATCTCAAGTAGAAGTCTTCATTTATGCGCGATGGCTAATGTGTACCTTCCACAATACAATGTTTTTTTTTTAAAAAAAAAAATCCTCAATTGTATCCGAATAAATATCAACAAATATTAAAGATATTTTTGTAATACGTATCTGAAAAGTATACAAACAGGATAAATCTATTTTATAATATTTAAAATAGCTATCCAATTTTTACTTAATAATCTTCTCCAAATATTTTTGGATATCCGATTTTTAACATTTTAAAAAATAAATTAGTATCTAAAATATTATGTGTGTATTATTGGAAATCAATCCATATAATTGGGATATTCAATTTCCGAATATTTTTTTTATCAGAAAGTGAATCTACATTATCAGATCAGAGTCGAAGCATTTAAAAAGGTACCTTAAAAAATGTCCCAAAAATGAAACACTGTTGTTTTAGAAATCTTTGATTCTCGAGTCAAAAACATTTTTAAGCAAAGGCAATTGCTTTGGGCCTCACAAAAATAAAATAATATTAAATAAAAAATTATCATTTGTTTTGGGACTTACGAGGCAATGGATCAGCCCATGGGCCTTTTTACAGACCGGCCGGTTAAGGAAATAAAACCGGAAACTGAAAAAAGCAGGGGAGCAAGTATCGAACCGGTCGATTTAGAGTTTGGTTGGTTTATGCTTAAAACTAAAGGCATAACAGTTCGGATGGAAAGATCAAAGCTGTCAGTCAACTGCCTATCAGGCGCCACTACGCATTCCTCAACCAATAATAAATTGACACGTCATCATTTAGTTATCCTGTAGATATGTTAATTAAAAAAAAAAGGTGCTCCCATACCCCGAAGCCCGAGGAAAAAAAAAAAAGCTCCCACGCTCATGACCATGTCGATGGAGACATAGATATCTTATCCTGGATCTCCCAATCTCTCTTCTCACTCCTCTCATCCATTGATGTCTTCAACTTCGGTACGAATCGTTTTCTTTGATTTTTTTTTTCTGTCGTGAGATCGTAATCCTTCTGTTTGAAATCCGTTTCGACTACGGATATTTCCGCTTGAATTACGAATTTGTTTTGTTCTTGGGTTCGGCGATATCAATGGAAATGCGGGATCCTTGGTTCTTCATTTGCTGAGTTGGTTTCGGTGTAAAATTTTCATTTTGGCTAATTTTGATTGTGTTTTCGTGTTCTTTGTAGATTGATTTTAGGGAAATGTCAGAGGAACTTGCAAATGTTTTGATGGAATATTATGTTTCTTCCGCTTGAACTCATACTTGAACGGAATGGTAGAAAAAACATGGTTTAGCTTCGACAGTATTCAACACATTAACCATGGAATCTGTAGATTGTAATAGGGGAATAATCGCGGAGACAAGTAATCGGATCGTGGTTTGCGAGATCTGAGGCAAAAGCAATGGCTAGGATCACTGGTTTGACATTAGCGTTCTCCGTCTTCCTGGGGTTATTGTGCTATGGCGAAGCCGGAATCACGAGTACCTTTGTCCGGTCAGAGTGGCCATCCGTTGATATTCCGCTCAGTCACGAAGTGTTCAAAGTTCCCAAGGGCTACAATGCACCACAACAGGTTGAATGTTCGATTCCTGGGGACATATTCCTGTTGTTGTTAATCCTAAGAAAACTGAAAAATCCCGGGATACATTGTTTCTTTTTTCCTTGAGTTTTTGTGTAACCCTTTGCTCATTGATTGGTGTTCTACAGATATCTTACTTTGGATTTCCATCTTTGGTGTTTATTTTCTCGATCTCTTCAGGTGCATATTACTCAAGGGGATTATGATGGGAAGGCTGTCATCGTTTCATGGGTGACACCAGATGAACCTGGTTCTAGCAAAGTGCAGTATGGCACGGTGCAGGGGCAATATGATTTTACGGCTGAGGGGACGTACACAAACTATACATTTTACAAGTACAAGTCAGGGTATATCCATCAGTGCCTTGTTGCTGGACTTGAGGTAACAATTCGATGAACTAAAGAAGAAACTCTAGTTAGTTGTGTGGTTTTGTTAATCAGTGTCACTTTTTATTGCCAATCACTCAGACCCATTGTAAGGCAGGAATTTGGCGTGTACTTGAGGAATTCATGCATTAGTACCACATGGATGTTTTGCAATACAATGTGTGTTATTATGTGCGTAAACAATGAAATATGGAGCTATGGTCCTAAACGTGGGTAATTTATGGTCATGGTTGATGTTTGATGGATTAGGTCAAATGTGAGTTACATAACTTCCTGTTCCTTGATGGGATTTTCTCCTAATCTGTATACGTTTATGGTCAGTATGACACCAAATACTATTACAAGATCAGGAGTGGTGATTCTGCGCGGGAGTTTTGGTTTGTAACACCGCCAAAAGTAGATCCATTTGCTTCATACAAGTTTGGGATCATAGGTATGCTCCTTCCACAATCTCATCAAGTGGAATAGTACTGTACACACCAAACTACTTAACTGTCATATAAACTCTTCAGTTTTCTTTAATACCCTATTCGCGTATAGATTTCTTGTTAAACCCGTGTTCATTTCCATACTGCAGGCGATTTGGGCCAAACATTCAACTCTTTATCAACACTGGAGCATTACTTGCAAAGTGGAGCTCAAACTGTCTTATTTGTCGGAGATCTTTCTTATGCCGACAGATATCAGTATAATGATGTTGGAGTGAGATGGGACAGCTGGGGTCGTTTTGTAGAGCGTAGTACTGCATACCAACCGTGGATCTGGTCTACAGGAAATCACGAGATAGATTACATGCCTTACATGGTAAAGTCTAATTCTGTAGTACCTCGTATATAACATATGTCCTGGATCATATAGACAGTTGCATATGTATAAGAGTCATAACAAAAATTCTGGATGAAATTTCACTAGCGCGTCGAATATGGGACCAAAATAGTTAGAGTCGTGGCAATGCTATCGCTTTCCTTTTTATCAGCTTATTCTTGTATAGAACTCTACTGACAACTAAATGAGAAAATGGATTTCTTACATGTGCTTGAATAGTGTAATTTAGGTTATAGTTCATATTTCTGTGTTCAGGTAAAAAATTCGACCTCTTTGTCTTGTTAGTTCTGAGGTTTACAACCTTTTTGCAGGGGGAAGTGACACCATTTAAAAATTTCCTTCACCGTTTTCCGACACCCTACTTAGCCTCGAAAAGTAGCAATCCCCTCTGGTATGCCATCAGACGTGCTTCTGCTCATATCATCGTGCTCTCCAGCTATTCTCCATTCGGTAACATTTCTCTTGCTAGCTGATATCTTGCCTTAAGATTAGAATGACCCGATATTATCATCTTCTCAGTGAGAGACATGACTTTTGTGAAGTGCTGATGAGTTTCGAATACTTCTGCAGTGAAGTACACCCCACAATGGGAATGGCTGAGGGAAGAGCTTAAAAGGGTTGACAGAGAGAAGACTCCTTGGCTCATAGTTCTTATGCACATCCCGTTGTACAACAGCAACGAAGCACATTTCATGGAGGGTGAAAGCATGAGAGCAGTCTTCGAGGAGTGGTTCGTCAAACATAAAGTTGATATAATCTTTGCTGGCCATGTTCATGCCTACGAGAGATCGGTATGGACTCTTTACTGTAAAATGGCCCTCAGGTTTTCTTTACTATGTTGTGTCTTATCACTTCCACATCGTTGCTTGAGCTACTTGATTCTATGTTATTGTGGTATCTCTTTACCCTTTACGAAAGAAGTCTCAAATCTTCCGTTGAACTTTTTCTTTTCCAGTACCGGATTTCCAATGTACGCTATAACGTATCGAGTGGAGATCGATTCCCGGTTCCAGACAAGTCAGCTCCTGTTTATATCACTGTTGGAGATGGAGGAAACCAAGAAGGTCTAGCTGGAAGGTGAGTTGAATATGGAAAACATAACACTGTCTTGGCAATCACAATCTGGATGATATCTTATACTGTGCTTTTGCTTCTTAGGTTTAGAGACCCACAGCCAGATTACTCGGCGTTCCGAGAAGCTAGCTATGGGCATTCCACTCTGGAAATCAAAAACCGAACTCATGCCATCTACCACTGGAACCGCAACGATGACGGGAAGAAAGTACCGACAGATGAATTTGTATTACACAACCAGTACTGGTAAGTAGGCTTTTCCTGATTTGAAAACCCGTCCTCGTACTCGAAGGTCTTACCCGACAAAATGTTCGGGTATTTGAGGTACACGAATCCGAAAATGATATGAAATGCATAAAACTAATAAAATTTATTTGGGTACACCCAAAGACAAGGGTAGATATTAAAAAAATGACAATGTTAACATATGCTAAATTCAGACCAAAACACAAAATTTTGTCACTGATTGCAACATATTTTGCCAGGTATGTTGACAAAATAACTAACTAATCCGTACCACAATGATTCCGTAATGTGTTGGAAACTTGGGACGATGCAGGGGAAGGAACACACGGCGAAGGAAGCTGAAGAAGAACGTTATCAAGAGCG